CAATTTTCCCTTTGAACTACCTTATGATTGTTAAACTCCTTCATTTGAATTGCACCACATCTGTTGATAGGGACAATACCTTTGATTTATTCCTCTTTTATTATAAAGAAATTCTAATTGTAATTCAGGCCATTTTATCCTTCCCTTCCATTTATTTGAGCAGCTGTTATATTTCCCTAGTTATCTTCATTACAGGTTTTATGCTGAGGTGTTTTGTTTGTTTATTTTGTTGTACTTCAGATCGGCCTATTTTGGCTTCTGTCAAGAAAGCACTCTCATGACATCATCCTAAGAGCAGCCGGAAAGGACTGCAGCTGTGCTCATGAAAATGATCAAATAATCAACCTGCTGATGAGCCTTAATGATAGTCACAGTCCTTGAAGCATGGGAAATGCCACTGCATTTCAGAGTCAGGCTCAAGCATCGGAACTGACCTTCCCCCACAGCGCTCAACCCAGTACAAAGACAGGACCCAGATCCAGACCTGACTTTCCACCAAATTCAGAGACATTCGGATGGGGTCCGTTCCTACAGCACTTTTTCTATGTGAGCTCCTCTGACCATGATACGTAAAGTGCTTGGCACGTTCTGCAATGAGCATTAAACATTTGCACCGTCTCTTCATGCAATGCAATAAGGACCACTGTGACATGGACATTGCATGAAGACTAAACAGAGAGAAGGTGGGTTAGGTAATATATTTTAGTGGACCAATTTCTGTTGGTGAGAGAGACAAGCTTTTGAGCCACCTAGATCTGAGGAAGAGCTCTGTGTGGCTTGAAAGCTTGTCTCTCTCACCAACAGAAGTTGGTCCAATAACAGATATCACCCCACCCACCTTGTGTCTCTAACATCCTGGGACTCACATGGCAACAATTATACTGCATACGTGAAGACTAAATGGCATCAGACACTCATGCACCTGCCAGTCTGTTGCCTTCTTAAACCACAATGTTTCAATGCCAGTATAACCCACATTTATACAGCGTGGCTTTCTGTACAGCCTTTAAAATGCATTCATTTCCAAGGATACACAGACTCAAATACTTGAAATGTGTAACTCACCACTGCTGCATTTCCAAGTTTTTGACTGGTAGCCCTGTGATCTGAAGATGAGTCATTCACTGTAGAGGGTTTTAACTTGCATGTTACACAGCACCATTTGCCTTCACTGGATCATCTCCTAAAAATTCCGTATCCGTTCCCCAGTTTATAGCTAACATGTCATGTGCATTTCCCCAGTGAGTTAAAATTAGTCTCTCATATCTATAGCACCTTGTCTTCACAAAGGATCCCTATCAGTCTATATGCAGGAATCACTTCAAGTACCAATGAGATGCAACCGCCTTCGGGGTGGAATGTAGAATCTAGTTAGTGGCATAAACCAAAACTACACAACAGTTTAGGATTCATGAAAAATGCCATTTTGCACATAGCTGAAACTACATGAGGATCTTCTTTTACCTAGGACCTATTGATCCCCAAGTAAGCCAAATAGAATGAGTATTATCCTCTTTAACCTATGGAAATATGGCTCTTGTCCTGAAGCATATGTTATAAACATGTTATGAGAGTCACAATATTGGCAGAAAGTTACTGTTTTGGTTTTCACCCTTTTAGCCAAGAACAAATGCGGCAGTAAGTAATTGATCATTTTTCTAATTGGCTTTGTATTACACAAAAAACATGTGTACTCATATTAATAAGGCACTGAAGATACCTGAAGATACTGACTGGTTTGTTTCATAGTTGTCTGATGTCCTTTTCATGAAGAATCTAAAACAGATTATCCAATCTTGAAAGGACGACTCCACTTTTTCTCATAGTGACTAGATTTCAACTGGATTATAAGATAACATACATTCGAGGGCAGTGATCTCTTAGTTTATATGTTTATGCTCTGACAGTGAGTCAGATGGAATATTAGCCACATGTAGACACCTGCTTTTGGAATTTTAGGATGATCACTCTCAGCACTTTGACTCCACCCACAAGTGACACCTAGAATTGGTGATGATGAAACCAGCCGATGATTAGAATTTGTTTTTCCTGTTACATTCTTATATGGTTTTAATTGTTATAATTTAGTTGGCCAATTTATTAATGGAGAATGAGAAACTGCAGGGAGAGTCCATCTCAGTTATGCTAGCCTCTAGCTCTTATCTGAAGCCCAGAAATGTAGTTGCAACCTGATCCTTTGAACCACAGAAGTATGATAACATGATTCCTGTTTACAGCTAGTTAGGTGCACTTCCATATTGCTTTCTTGCCTGCGATTGCCAGGAAAGACTGTAAAAAATGTGTGCCTGCAAGCCATGCAGCCATTCCTTTTGACATGCTCTTGTAATTTCTAAACTTGCATTATTATAATGCACATCCTGTCAGCAAAAGATGAATCATAGAATCATAGAATTTCAGAGTTGGAAGGGACCTCTGGAGGTCATCTAGTCCAACCCCCTGCCCAGAGCAGGACCAATCCCCAACTAAATCATCCCAGCCAGGGCTTTGTCAAGCCTGAGCTTAAAATGTATGGGTTTCATTTAAGCCAAAACATTATATAATCATCTGCAGCGTTATCCGTTCAAGGCTTAATTTTGCATCCTCATTGCTTTTAGCAGTGACCAATTGGTGAAAATATTTATTGAGCAAACATCTTCATACACATACTATTAAGGCTTCATGAGGTTCACACACACATGGTTTTGTTTCCCTCTTATTCAGCTGATGGAGGACAATCACAAAACTGTTCTTGGGAGCTTTTAAAAGAAGGAGCTATAGGGAGAGCTTGCAGAAGATTATAAAAACTTGGGAGTGATGGGATCACAAAAGTTAGCGGGAAAAGCCTATTAATGGAGCTGGTTGAATAATTTGTAGCAGATATGTTATCTGATGAATGTAGCCCTTTCCTCCTCCCTTCCCCACAATCTGTGAATCCTTTGTAAATTCATCATTCATTTCTGTGAATGGATTAATTACTAAGTATTTACCTAGTGATTTATACAAGATGATCTTCAGACTATGGTTTGTTTGCAAACAGACTCTTTGCTATTTGTTGCACCTGGTGTGAGACTTATCACTTGCATTGCATGGGATTGTTTCTCTTCCCTAACTGGTTGAGTGAAGCTTTTTGGACGGTTGAATACAGAAAGAGAAATGCCACTGAGAACAGTGAAAACTCCTGCAGTCCCACAAATATGGTACCTTGTTTGCAGCTGGGTATGTGTACTTGCACAAAGAACAGCTATTCCCCGAACATTCATATGAAACAAAACCTATGTTTGTATCAGCATTCATGAATAACAATTTATAAAGTGGTACAAACAAGGCCTAAGCAAACAGCTGTTCAGAAATCCAACAAATGTTCTCACAGACAGATTTTGGAGTGCTCAGCCAGTGCAACTCATTTAATGTGAGATCATCTAATCTACCACCCAGAACTGTTCCCCACAGCATATGTTCTAGGGTCAGGACCAGTATATTGCAAGGGTAGGATTTTTCAAGAGAGTTTAACTTTCTCCTAACTCTGCTCCCACTGAAGTCAATGGTGACACTCCCATTACACTTCACTGGATGCAGAGTTAGACCATTGTTCAGCCCTTTTGAAAATCCCATCCTAAAGTGGTCCAAGCAGTAGGGTTTGTCGTTCTCCTGTTGGAATACTGTTCTACTCTATAGCAGTTAGGAATATTCAATCTTCATTTTCCTCTTAGTAATTTCATCCCAATACTCAATACTACTACCCTAAATAATTCCTCTCCCTCTCGGGATTTATGCACCTACAGTCTACTGGATTGAGTCTGGACCTGGCATTTGAAAATAGAGATTGTATTCCCAGTTCTTCTAATGATCTTGAGCAAGTTACTTTATCTCTATGGTGCTTCCATTTCCCCATCTGTAGGATGGGAATAATAATGCTTGCCCACTAGTGTTTTGAGATCTACAGTAGAAAAGCACTATAAAAGGCAAAGAAAATTATTACTCAGATCCTTGTAGATGCATATGCCCTCTTACGTTGTTAGTATTTCTGAGACATGGCAGATAACTACCACCAAAATTAGGGCTGTATAGAGCAAATGTTTAGCTCTGAAATGCAGAAATTAGTATTATAATAAAATCATAACTTCATGTTAGCATTTTTACTGTAACTTGAGAAGCAAGACTGAATTGTGGTTTGTATATTAAAAGTCTTAATCAACAAGTCTAACTGATGTTTTTAATGTGCTGACAAATATTGCTTCCAAAGCAGAATGCAGAACTGTGTCTCACAAGATAAAATGCATTCTCCTGGGCCTGAACCTCCTACCAGATTGCAAAGCTTTATATTTCTTTTGGAGACCAAGCTAGCCTGTCCAACTTTTCTGGGCCTTCTTTGAATGCATCATCATCAGGGATATGTGGTAGGAAATAAAATACATGATTTTGTCTGTTACTGCCAACTACAGATGGACAGATGGACCAAAATCATAACCTCAAATCTGAGTCCCTTTGAATTTCAGGGGAAATGGGATTTAAATCCCTACATGTAAACCCACCCCTGTAGGATTCATACAAGGTTCATGCGCTTGGCAACATTCAGGGCACACCCGGAGTGTTGTGCTGGACCTGTGCACACACAGCTCCTTTCAAGGGCATCAACCTTGGAATCTCGCCCAGTTGACATGAACCATGGGAAGCCTCCCAGGACTGGGCTCAAGGCCCGAGAGCAAGGAATGCGGTAGATAGAAACTGGTAAATAAGAATGTTAAACAAAGCCAGTGTATTCCTTTTATCTGTTGGAGAATGTAATGCGCGGGGGGAGAGAAAGAATAAAGGGGAAGGTGGAAAGCTGACAGGCAGAAGCCCGTTAGAAGACCAGCTTGTTTGCTTGCTTAAAGCTCTGTGCTGTCTTGTCATTGAACCGCCACAACTGGCGCCCAAACGTGGGGCCCTCAGCACTCACCTCACCCGGCAAGGGTTTCAGATGCGTCACTCATCCACTTTGCGGATCCCGGTGAGTATTTTTCATTGTGGTAAGTACGGGAAGCTCCGTCTCTGCTTTGCAAGTGCAACACCGCAGTGAGCTACAGTATTTGCTGCGTAAGGCTCAGCATGACTGTCCCACTCGAGAGCTCACTCTCCTGCTACAGGAGGTGAGTGCCCAGTGCCCGTGGTACCCTGAAGCTGGAACCCTTAAGCTAGCGGACTGGGAGCGGTTGGGCCAGACATTGCACAAGGAGCCTCGGGCGCCCGTGCAGGCTTTACACGCCTGGCACCTCTGCCGCGATGCGATACAGCGTGTCGCTTCGGACAGGCCCCCCCCACGCCAACAGAGGGGCTGCCGATCTCGCCACCCCCGTCCGCTCCTGCAACCATCCCTCCCCCTGCTTCGCCCTCAGGGCCTCTATTACCAGCACCTCCCTGGCCTTCCCCACCGGAGCCGGTGTGTGATCACCCTCCCACCGTGGAGCCCCATGCTCCGGGGCCCCCCGGAGGGTCATCCGCGTCTGCTCAGGGGCTTTCGCTGGTGCAACAAATGGTTCACGCAGCGAAGACTCGCTCAGATCTTACAGCAGAGGAGCTGGCTGAGCTGGTCTCAGTTTGTCCGGTGACCTGGCAGGATGATGGCCAGGGCAACCAGGTTACAAACTGGGTCAGTTTGCCCTACTCGGTGATCAGAGACATAAAGAAAGCGATCCACGAGTTCGGCCTCACTAGCACGTATGTGCGTGGTCTCATTGAAGGGCTAGGTTCTGGGTACTCTCTGGTCCCTGAAGACTGGAAGGCGCTGTTGCGCATGATGCTGACACCTAGTCAGTATGTTATTTGGCTTAGTGAATTTCGGCAGATGGCGGAACGCCAAGCCCAGGTATATAGAGAGCAAGGTGTCATTTATGAGCAGTTGGCAGGGGAGGGCCAGTTTGCTACCGTTCAGATGCAGTCTCAACTCCCTCAGGCCGTCTTCCCCATTATTTCCACCTGCGCCCAGCATGCTTTCCGGAAGGTCCCGGATTCAGGCAAGCCTACCAAAAGCTTTGCCAGTATCCGTCAGGGTGCATCAGAGTCCTTTATGGATTTTACCAACAGATTGCAGGAGGCTATCCTCCGGCAGGTGGATAGCCCTGCAGGAGCTCAGGAGATCCTGTTAAAAATGGCAGTTGAGAATGCGAACGAGGATTGCCGCCCTGCTCTCCAGGCGGCACAAGCCTCTGGGATTCTAGAGCTGTCAGACATGCTGCGGGCGTGCCAAAACATCGGCACCCAAGCCCATAAGGCTGGAGTTCTGGCTGCCGCCCTGCGGAAAAGCAGGAAGGAGGGGAAGCGTTGTTACCGCTGTGGTAAGGAGGGTCACTTTCAGCGGGAGTGCCGCTCCTCGGCGGCGCCCGCCCGCCCCTCAAAGAAGTGCCCCAAGTGTCGGAAGGGCTATCACTGGGCTAATCAGTGTCGTAGCGGGTCAGGAAACCGCACGACGGGTCCCCCCCCCCGAACCCAGGGCCAAACGGGGGTGTTTCCCACTCAGAGAACTGTTCCTCTGCTTTAAAATCCATAGACTCCATGAAGGCGGCGACTGCCGGAAGTGCAGGGCTTGATTTGATTATGCAGGAGGATGCTGACTTTCGGCTGCCGGGGGAGGTCTGCGCCATACCTACCCAGGTGACGGGACCTCTCCCTGCCGGATTTGTGGACCTGGTTCTCCCTCGCTCACACGCTGAGAAACAGGGTTTTTTTGTCATCCCAGGGGTCATTGACGCCGATTACACCGGTGTTATTAAGGTTCAGGTATGGACCCATCTTCCGCAGTCGCTCCCGCGTGGACGGTCAATTGCGCAATTGATTTTAGTCCCCTATCAGGTGCCAGCTGCAGAGGATCGAGCCCAGGGAGGAGGCGGCTTTGGATCGACTCTGGCTCAGTCGCCATCTCACAACACGTCCTCTCCACTTGTTGCTCTAACAATGTTGGTCCGCCCCTCGAAACCTCAGTTAACACTTCTCTTAAATAATGTTCCTTTTACAGGGCTGGTGGACACTGGAGCTGACGTTACGGTGATCCGGAGTGGCCGGTCGGTTGGCCAACAGTTCCTTCTAAAGAGTTGTGGGGGATCGGGGGTAGCAAACCCAGGCGCCAAAATTTGTTTTGGGTCACGGTCTCTAAACCAGGAGGCCGTGCCCTTGCTACAATCCGCCCTTTTGTACTCCCTGTCCACCTCAATATTTGGGGCCGTGACTTACTTACAAAGCTGGACACCACCCTCGATATTAATATATAATGGCCCGAAATCCTCCCTCACCCACCTTGCCATCCGCATTACCATTAGTATGGCAATCCTTAGAGCCCGTATGGATTGACCAGTGGCCCCTCCCCCTAGAAAAGCTGAAAGCGCTTCATTCACTTGTACAATAATATTTGCATGCACAGCGCTTGGAGAGCTTTACTAGTCCTTGGAACTAGCTGCTGTTATTTTGGACTTTCAACTTTTTGCTGATTGTCCCTTTAATTTGATCGTGGACACGCATTATGTTTATCAGGTAATTGATCATTTACCCCTTGCCCTCATTACCCCTCAGGTCGATGCGGACCTTCTTCGCCTGTTTTTGTCCTTACAGTATCTCCTCACCACTCGTAATTTCCCTTATTTTGTTGCTCATATTCGCAGTCATACCCCTCTGCCTGGGCTACTTACTGAAGGCAATGTGCACGCCGATCGCGCGTTACGTGGCCCGGTAAATTCCCTTTTTTCTGACCCCATTGAAAGCCATTCCTTTTTTCAATCAGTCTGCCTCTGTTTTGGCCTGGCAGTTTCACATTCCTGCTGATCATGCACGTTTTATTGTTCGTTCCTGCCCCCACTGTGCCGCTGCTGCCCCTACCTTTTCTTATGCCATTAACCCCAGAGGTACCGCAGCGAATCAGCTGTGGCAAATGGATGTCACTCACGTGCCACAATTCCGTCCCTATTCGTTTTTACATGTTTCCGTTGATACTTATTCGGGATTCCTCTGGGCGACCCCACAGCGTGGGGAAGCCACTCCCAAAGTTATTCACCATTTGCTAGCCTGTTTTGCTGTTATGGGTCGCCTGAGCCAGATAAAAACAGATAATGCCCCAGCCTATTGCTCCACAGCCCTCTCCATCTTTTGTGCCCAATGGGACGTCCGTCTCACACACAGGATCCCTTATAATTCCACGGGCCAAGCCATTGTTGAACGTGCAAATCGCACGCTAAAAACCTTGCTCGACAAACAATTAAAACAAGGGGAGCTGCGTCTCCGAACCTTAGGAGACATTCAGCAACAATTGCATATCCTTTTGTTCACTTTAAATAATTTAACACTGAACGCAGATCAGCAGACCCCCACGGATCGGCATTTTCACAAATCTGAGGTACTGGAAAGACCGCGTGTCTATTACCGTCAGCTGCCCGATCCGCAATGGTTGGGCCCAGTGCCTCTAATTACTTGGTGTCGGGGATATGCTGCTGTGTCTCTCCCTGCAGGACCGTTGTGGGTTCCGGCCCGGTGTGTGCGACCGGCACTGAAACAGCATGGTGTGGCACCAGGGGCTGTCAAACCCCATACCGGAGTTTCAGATGACCTTGGAGGAGAACGCGGTGCCTCCCGGGTCGACAATGGCGGGACGGAAACGGAGGAGGCATAGCGTCCCAAGCCAGCCCTTGACATGGGGAGCAGTAAAAGCATTGGTCGCCGCGGCTCAACGAAGACTGGCAGCAAACCAACAGCCAGAGACTTCTGAGACTTTGTTTGTGGCAATTCTTGCCCAAATTACTGCTAATTCTGTATTGATTGTATGCCTTTTGTGCCTGCTATTTCCTGTAGGGGTTGGCTCGGGAGCGCTTTCTCCGTTACGAGCCCGAATGACATATAACCTATGGGAAAGATTGGCTTCAATAGCAAATGTTACCCACTTTTGTTTATTTGATTTTGTAGCAGCTGAAGAATTGTTAGGTACGTGCCTTATTCCAGTATGTCATCACCCTGAGGAATTGGAAATAAGATGATGCTCGCTGCTTACGCGAACCTCTCTTCCCAGTACTCTAGCATGGCTAATTGGGGCCCGGCCAATTACACTTTACCTTCTTGAGCTTATTTTTTGCTGTTGCTGTGTGCAATGTATTTCCTTTTTGTTAAGGCTTTGTCGAGAACCGCCCTGGCAGGCTCCACGAGTTATGACCTCGTCTGTCCAGGAGTTAATTAGCTTGCAAAAGCAAATTGATGGCTACCATGAGATGGCCGAGCACAAATAAACAAAAAATGGGGGGATGTAGGATTCATACAAGGTTCATGTGCTTGGCAACATTCAGGGCACACCCGGAGTGTTGTGCTGGACCTGTGCACACACAGCTCCTTTCAAGGGCATCAACCTTGGAATCTCGCCCAGTTGACATGAACCATGGGAAGCCTCCCAGGACTGGGCTCAAGGCCCGAGAGCAAGGAATGCGGTAGATAGAAACTGGTAAATAAGAATGTTAAACAAAGCCAGTGTATTCCTTTTATCTGTTGGAGAATGTAATGCACGGAGGGCAAGAAAGAATAAAGGGGAAGGTGGAAAGCTGACAGGCAGAAGCCCGTTAGAAGACCAGCTTGCTTGCTTGCTTAAAGCTCTGTACTGTCTTGTCATTGAACCGCCACACACCCCAAAGTTTTGGTTCTGGGTCAGATCTAGAACCAACAGAAGGCACATTTTTTCCAGTGCTGTGCATTCAATGCGGCCAAAACACACCAAGAGAAAAGCTAATCTCATGAGATTTCATCCCCAAACTGGCAGAATACCTCAAGATCTCCACCATGTAAGGTGGTAGATATCTCACAATTTTTCCCTTGGTCTGAAAGACAAATCTTACAAGAATGGCTTGTGAGATTTCATAGAATCATAGAAATGTAGGGCTGGAAGGGACCTCGAGAAGTTGTCAAGTCCGGCTCCTTGTGCTGAGGCAGGATCGAGTAAACCTAGACCATCCCTGGCAGCTGTCCAACCTGTTCCTAAAAACCTCCAGTGATGGGGATTCCACAGCCTCCCTTGGAAGTCTATTCCAGAGCTTAACTACCTTTCCCACAGCGTGGATTCCAATCTTAAACCTGACCTGTCCCCTAGTTTTGATTCAGCCTTGAACCAAAACCAGAAATCCCAATTCCTTAGCCCATCTCTACTAATGATTAGGGGAAATAATTATCTTTAGACGTTAAAAAAAACACTTACTAGGAGGAACAAAACATTTTAGTTAAATAAGAACTGACCAGGATCCTCACCTGAAACTTAGACCAAAGTTCGGCCTTTTTTTGAGGTTCAAGAGAGCTCAATTAACATTTTGAAGTTATTCCTTTCATCTCTACAATTCCTGGTTTCCAGAACACAACATTACCAAAAGCCATTCATTTTCACAATAAGTTAGCACATTCCAAGGTTTGATTTTATAATGCCAAGCCCCAAAAGCATCAAATATTTACATTTAATAAAATACTTTTGCCTTGAGGATTAAAATATTGTGAGATGTTTTAGTATGAACCAGGAAGGAAAATGGCATTAGGAATCAATACATAAAGCGTTTGTATTAGCTACTGGTGTTGAGAAGAATACCAGGACAGTAGTAAAGCTGGTGTTTCATTAAACTAGGCAGCCTGTGCATAACATGCAAATAGTATGAAATCAAATAGATTAAACAAGCAAAGTCAAGCTGAAGTCGATATATTAAAACTTGGGTCTTGCAGTGAATAAAAGCAAGGCATTTTCTAGAGAGTAATTTAAAAGTTTTATTGAAGTTTCTGTTAAAATAGATAGCAATAATACTTGGCAAATACACCACTAGAGCTCTAAGTATTAGAGAAAGAGAGAAGCTATTTCTGAATGATAAGCAGTGTGAAATACCACACCATATTACTTTGAGGCAGGGAGAGAGTCAGGCTATGCCAGATGCTCGGTTGCAATATATACTTTCAGTTCTTAATTAAATGTAACACAAGAATAGCAAGTCCCAAGTCATCATCGTTGCAAAGAATTGGAGAAAGAACTAAATTAAATCTCTGCTGATTCTCCCAGGACTTAAATGAGTGTACACTAAAATGCACAGTTAACTACATGAGCATAGATCTCTTCACTGACTTAATTAAATGTCACTCAACTAAGTCAAAACATTTTTGGAACCTTCAAAGAAGGTACAGATCTCCCAAGGGAGAAAAAATAAAAATCACAGGAGAGTGTGAATGAACATATAGCTTATTGTACAAAATTACATTTTGGAGATGGCACTGGTAAATAGACTCCATATATTATGAGGAGCAGATTTAAAGATTTTGCAACAAGCTGTGCCAGACCTCTGACATTTGGTGCATAAGCTTCTTTCCTTCAGATAAGGAGGTAATGGGAATATGCTATGCAGCATAAAACATTTCAAGAAGAGTAAAGCATTGATAGTGTATGCAATCTTATGAAATGTATACTAAAAGTCAGTGAGGCAAATTATGGCCCTGTGAGCCTTTGGAGGGGATGAAAACACTTCTAGCACTCCAGCTGCGTTGGAGGAAGGCATTTTGCTTGGAAAATGTTTAATGTTTCATGGGAAGCTGGAGAGAGTGAAGTAAGGAGTAGCCTGTACTCTACCCCAGTTCTCCCCTGCTGGTGCTTACTTGTACGTAGAGATGAGGCACACTCTCTGCAGGCCAGTAATTGTTGCACACAGGACTAATTGACTCCCACCACTTACACTTCTAGTCAAACTGCGGTTACTTCCATGCCTGCTCTGGATGCGGGATTGGAGCCATTGTGGCCTCTTCCTCACCCCAGAATACCTACAAGAGATGCCAGAGTCTGACCTAGTGTCTGCTCAGCATAGAACCAGGCAGAGATTTACAAGACACGACATGCTTGATTTTCCAAAAGTGCAGTTTTCCAAGACTTCTGCCTGAGCACAACATGCATGTGTCCCTCTTCCACAACTAGTATGTATCTGGACCTAGGTGACATTAATACTGGAGACTGGCAAACCAGTGTGACTCCAATAAGAAATGTCTTATCTTGTCCATCCCTTTCAATGATTCCAAACCGAAATCCTGTTTGATGCTCACATTTTTTTCAATTAAGTGTTTTGCCATTTTATGTTTGATTTGAAATTCCAGGCTTGGCACAGAAGCAGAAATGCCAGAAGAAAGAGGCTTTCACCATATTTAGGGTCCAGCCTAAAACAGGAAGTACTGAAAATCTTACTAAAAAGCCTGGTCTTAGGAGATTTCTAGTCACAATCTCAGCCCAAAAAGGTGTAGACAGGAGTCCAAACTTTGATGACTTCTTCAAACTGAATCTTTTGAGCCCTATTTAAGAAACTCCCCAAAGCTCCCACTTTGCTTTGCTGGCAAAATTAGTTCTCTTATTGTTCTGCATAGAGACACATTTCTTTTTCTCCTAACATGAAAACAAAATCTATCTAATGTAAGAACCTTTCAAGTGAAGATTTGCACTGCTTTCGGCCTACAGTATTTGTATCTGTAGTTTTATTGTATTGTTTGGATCTTGTAATATAAAAAGAAACTGTATAAAAGAGTGGAATACCACCAAATACCTAGAAGTGGTGAGGAGACTTGACCTTAATAATATCACTGCTCTTTAGAGCTCAGTGAAATTTTTCTTTATGAAACCTTTTTTCCACTGACAAATGCAAATTTGTGTTGACTGAAGCAATTTGTAAATTTGGGTCAATTTTGGTGAATTGTTCGTAATTTAAAAAAAATGAAAAAAATGTCAGAAATATCAAATGCTTCGTTTCAGCATTTCCAAAACATTGCAGTTGTCACAAAACAAAATATTTAACGTTCACATTTGCTGAAAATTTCAAATCATTTTCATTTTGGCTCAACCCCAAACTCTCCCCCCTTCCACCTCCCCACTGCCAGTTTTTTTCACCTCTATCCAAACCGAATGGTTCATTCTTCAAAACGCCCTACTTCTCGTTTCCACTTATATTGTATATAGTGATACAGTATCACTTTGTGCTCACAACTGGCATTTCAGCATGTTGCCCAATATACATACAGTTACTACTATCACATCCCTAATGATAACAGAGGAGCATTTTCAAGGCATCCTATAGAGATGGACTCTGTCTCATGGTTAAAACATTGGACTGGGAGTCAGCAGAACTGGGTTCTAATTCCTGAATCTGCCACTGACCTGCTTCATGATATTGGCAAGTCATTTAACCTGTATGACTCAGCTTCCCCCTCCGAGAGTTAATTGTTATCTCTCCTTGCACCTCACAGGGACAATGTGAGGCACAAATCAATGTTTGCAATGTGCTTCCGGATATCTGGACTGAGGGTGCTATCAAAGTACAGAGTATTATTCTGCAACACACTATAATCTCTTTGTGGCCGCAGGAGTGTTTGTGAGCCATTGGAAGACTTAAATATACAGGATGTATCTTAAAATCACAAAAGTATGTCTCAGTTGCCAGGCTATCTGGTGTGAAATCTTAACTAGGTGGTTGAAGACAGATAATCAAAAGACTTTCTTCCTTATCATTCCCAATACCTTGGGGGGTGGGGTCATTTTACTTGGTAATAAGCTATGTAGGTTGTTTCTTGCTGTAGAGTAAATCGATACAAA